TACGGGGAGGTGGACAACTCGGCTTCCAATCATGGGCAAATCAGATCTGCGAATAAAGTCACTATCATTCACTTCTTTCTTGTTATCCAATAAAGAACACCCATCAATGATGATCTCAAATTGTTTAATGATGTTGCTAGGGATTCCCTCACCACTCCAATCATTTTCAAGTTGGACCATCCCAACTGCAATTGGTTTCAAACTGTGTCTTAGCACACAAAGGGCAATAGGCTCTGATCTCAAATTGGCTCCAAGCAAATTGTGGATCAAGATTTGAGACTTTCATTCTCCAAGCAATGCCACCGGCGCTCTGCCCAAAATAGCGGCAGCGGAGCAGCTGCACCACCTGCACTATTCTTTCAGCCTTATAGTTGGTGGGGCGCCCCACTATAGCTATATTTAAAACCTATCCCAGATAGTTTTTTACCTTACCGCACTGTATAGCAATATTTTGCTGTGCTATCTGGTGTCATGGCATGCCAGTGCATGGTTTTGCACCATCGGATCCTAGCACCTCAGAGCACCCCAGAGCGCCTTATGTCAGCTCTCAGACAATTCCAATGTTGGTCAACAACTGATACATTCAACCCTTCCACCTCATCTCACCACATCAGCCATTCACCCGGTATACTGAATTCAATCAGGCAATTCAACCTCCACAAATTCAACTTTGACAATTCCACATTCACTGTTTCACAATGCTTGTATTTTTTGTGCAACAGAAACCTTTGACTCCTTTTTTAAGAGGTCCTCATGGTGAATGTTTTCTGTTGCTTTTGCTTGATTGGTATATCATTTGATTGATATCTTTTTGTTTACTCAGTCTGATTCCTCTTTCAATTTTTCATTTGCTTCACTCACTCGGTTTAGGGCCCGTTCGGCTGTTTTCCCCAAAAGTTGTTACACAAAAGCGACTTTTCATTTTGCCCCGTTTGCAAGGGGCAAAATGAAAAGCTGAATTTTGGTAAACGCAGAAGCCGAACAGTCATCCAAAAAGGTCAACAAAAGATCAAAATGATCATCGTTGACCGTGTGATCACTGTTCAACTGTTTGGTAACAGTCATGTAAAAAGTGCTTTTGAATGAATCAAAACTTGAAACCAATCGTTCATTTTTTAACCTCATCCATTCATTCATCACGGTCATCAACGAGCAAAATCATTGTTCCATCATTGTTCCATTTGTTGACACTTCACATCACTTGATTTTCAACATAATGGAGTCTCAATCAAAGCTTTTTTACTCTATACATGTATCATTAATCACAAGTCTCAATCAAAGTATTTTTATTTTACTTGTATTGCAATTTCAAGTCTCAGTTAGCAAAATCTTTATTTTACATTCATCAAACAAACCTTTTTTGATCAAGTTGTTGTAGACAACACGAGAGAAGAACAGTGGATGGCGGAAAGGGGTGTTGAGTGGGTGAAGGGTGTTTGAGTTGGTGAAGTTTTGAATTTGGTGAAGTTCAAGTGGGTGGTGGGTGAGGTTGATTGATCAAGGTGAAGGGCAAAAGCCACTCTTAGTCTCAAAAGCAGCCTTGAGGCTGCTTTTGAAACTGGATGAACTTTTGACCAAAGTACTTTTGGATTTTGATCAAACAAACTTACTAAACGCCGGTGTTTTTGATCAAAATCAAAAAGTACTTTTGGTCAAAAGTGCTTTTTGATTTTGGTGAAGCTTTTGGCCAAAAGTTACTTTTGGGTTTCAGCCAAACGGGCCCTTATCTTTCTAGATTATTGTTCCCAATATTCAAATCTGAAGTTGATCATGACTCCATCCATCCCCGATGCTAGAAACTACACCCAAACTATGTTACAGTTTGTTCCCAGCTCTCTTGCTTTACCTACTCCTAGTACTAATATCTCATTGTCAGCTCAAAGACTTTGCCCACATAGTACTGTCTGCCCTCAACCTGGGTTTGTCGCACGGTATCCAGATTTGCAACAAGCTCTTCAATTACCATACGATTCTGAAGAACCCAACACCAAAGAACATCAATCTGAAGCTGAGCTTGTCCCAGAATCCTCATCCATTCAACCACACCTGCAGAAAAGGGTCCCTAAGAGCACCCACTATGGTTGCGTTAACAACCTGATCTAGCGTTACCGTAGGGCTCAAATACGCACAGATCCACTATGGACCTGTTTTAGACCTGTGGTCCGTACGGCTGCGTTAAATTATGCACCCCACATGTTCAGATCTACGCAAGCCTACGACTTGATTTATTGTAGGATAATTGGTCAACAACTACATTTTTCAAAACCTCAAACTTCAAAACTTCACAAATCAAGACTTAAAATCTCAAAGTTCAAACCTCAACTTTGAAGTTTGAACTTCACACCTGCCTTTTGAGCACAGAATCAATCATGAATATGTAAATCTTCAATCATCCTTAAAGAAAGTTGCATACTTGTTCAAAATTTATGTTTGAACTTCAATTCATATCTAGCATTTGGGGCGAAATGGTCACCATGCAATTGCTGAGCAACTTGAGCGCGGTCTTGATCTTTTTGGATGCAAGCGTGAGGAGGTGGAGGAGGTGTGTGAGGTTTATCAAACAGGAAGTCAAAGACCAAATGGTCTTTGAAGACTTCAAAAGGGCATTGATTGGGTTTTTAAGGAACTCGGAGCAAGCATTTGATGGATGTCTTTTGGATGAACGTTATGAGAATTAAGATACAGTTGATCCAGTCTAGTCTCAACCACGACTACGACCCCAGGGCCGGAGGGGCCGTCCCGGGACCCAAATTTTGGAGGTCCAGGAATTTTGGAATGGTGTGCGTTACCTGGGTTTTTTCTTCTCTTTTTCCCACATAATTGCCACTTTCACCTCCTTCAATCACCCTTTTTCCATTCTCTCATCGTATCCTTACAATCTGAATTGATCAAAACCCGCATCAACCACATGTCGAAGGCAAGCAAAGCAGTACGGGGCCAAAGAAAACAATGGAGGAACCTTAGAAAGGCCAAAGCTGTGCCAATCTCCGAATTGGAAGACGAATTAACTCCTGTTGACTTAATCATAACATTCAATCAAAACCCACCTCATGCTGATTCAGAGACAATCACGCCATCGAATCCTGTGATCATGATTTCATCAGACTGCAACTCTCACGACGCTGAGGATTTACAAACCCCCCAGCCTCCTCAATCAGTCATACTTCAACCTTCTGAGTTCTATTGGATGCCTATTGATCCCAATTATTTAACTGAAGAGGATGATATGGATCCCTTAGGCATGCCACTCTACGCACAACCTGATATTGTTGATTCTTCCGATGATGAAGCATGCAATCATGAATTAGTCAATGAAGCTATATTTCAAGTTTTCACTCAACCTTTTATCAATCAACAACCTCTTGGTAAACGCAAAACCAAGAGCGGTCAAATCCTCAAAGGCTATAAAAGGCCTCGTGTTCAACTTAATTCAAATAAACTTGCACCACAAAAGATACCAAAAGAGACTCAAAGAAGACAGAGAATTGAGCAAGAAAAGGCACTTGGCAAGTCCAAGTTTTCAATGGCGGACTGGGTTATCAAGAAACCACCTTCAGCCCCAGCTCCGGTCTCTCCTCCCTCTCCACCTGATATTGAGCCCGATTCCTCTGAAATCGAATCCTATTAATAACCCCTCTGACATCGAATCCTACAATCCGTCCAAAGACTCTCAAATAATCTCTCTGGTAACAAAAATCAAGATGAAGACAACAACATCTCTTTTTCTATTGTTTCAAACTCATGGATTGATGAGTGAGTTGATAGATATTGATTCGGCAAGAAGAAGCATTTGGTACCTAAGGATATCCAAAAAGAAGCTCAGAATCGATTTGAAAGCTTGAATGATGATATTGATTATATTGAAAAAATGTACAAGACAATCAAAAAAGAACAACCTCTATTCAAATACCCATCAGCCATCATCAACAACCTCCGAGAATACAACTCACGACGTCTTGAGCTCACTCTCAAAGGTGCAGGTAATTCAGCCGTCACTGCTTCAATCCTCACCTCAGCCTCCTCAATACGTAGACAACCCTTAAATCCTAAGATCATCAATCAAACAACTACAGGAGTTAGCCGAGCAAAAAAAATTCAATCACAAGCTGTTTATCTTGCCAAGCACAAGAAATCAATCTTGAGCCAGAGAGGATTCAGCTCCACTCACATATCAATGCTGGATGACAAGAAACTTTTCACCTTGCTTCATACTTGGGCACTTAGTAAAAACCCTGGAGAGGTTTGTTTTTTCTTTCTCTTTTCTGTGTCTCCTATTTTGATTCTCAACACTGACAAATCTTATCTATAAATTACAGCTCACTCCCTTATCTTTCCTTCACCATGTCAAAACGGTGGCACTACCTGAACACGGTCTTGACAAGACAATCTGCCTCAACACTGCCCATCAATGGCTTCACTGCCTGGGGTTTTGGGCACGAGAGTACAGTAAAGGACTATACTTCAATGGACACAAACACCCTGATGTTGTTGAATACCGTCAAAAGTACCTCCAAACCATGGAAACCCTTCAAAAACAATCTTGAACCTACTTGGGCAAAGATCTTGAGATTTCGATTGCACCGGATCCTTTCATCCTTCAAGGCCAGCAGGAAACCATTCTACTTTTCCACGACAAATCAAGTGTACATGCAAATGAGCGTCCTAAGTGTGCCTGGTTGAAGGATGGTGTTCAAGAGTTACGTAAGAAGAGTGATGGCCGACTCATTCACGACTCTGACTGGATCACGCCAGCTACCAGAACCGGTTGGCTTGAAATCACCTTTGAAGATCATCACAGAAGACTCCCGGTTCCTTTGTTCAACGCCGCCGCCGTTGTTACTTACCCTGGGTCCAAAGGAGATCCTTGGTGGGACTGCGCGCAGCTTATCAAACAAGTTTGGACATGTGCAATCCCTATTTTTGAGTATCTTTTTCCTGATGCGCAGGTAGTTTTTGTCTTTGACTGCTCCTCTGCACACGAATCCTATGGATCCTCTGCTCTACGTGTTCCAAATATGAACCTCACGCCTGGTGGCAAAAATCCGAAGATACAACGAGATACCACCATCCCAACTGACAACCCTCGGATTGCTGTTGAAATTCGAGGCCAGCCACAGTCAATGGTATACCCAACTGAACATTCAGATGCCAAACTTGCTGGAAAATCAAAAGGTGTTCGATGTGTCCTTACTGAGTGTGGCTTATGGAGTATTTATGAAGAAACATGCAAGCAAGAAGGAAAGAAGACAATCTTCCGCTGTGCATTATGCAGGTTATCCAACACCAAACGTGATCTGGCTGCTTGAGAGGGGCGATTGCAACGCAAGAAGGAGGCTCAGGAGGCATATGAACATGGTGACGACCCAGCTGATCTCAAAACTGAAGAGTCTGACGATCCAATGTGCTGTGCTGCAAAGATCCTGAGCCTGCAGTCAGAATTTTCCAATGAGAAGCCGTTGCTTCAGATGTTGATTGAGGAAGCCGGGCACATTTGCCTCTTCCTTCCAAAGTTTCACTGCAAACTCAACCCAATAGAGCTCTATTGGTCATTTATCAAGCACCGTAAGTTTTTTATCATTTCACATCCTGACCTTGATGTTTGACTGAAAATGTTTTAATCTATAGATTACCGAGTAAATAGTTTCCAATGCAAAACCTTCAAGGGGTGTCAGGCTCTCTTCCAGCAGATTCGCAAGCGCTGTCCGGTATCAACAATTCGAAAGTATTTTTGAAAAGTCAATCGCCACATGGATGCTTATCGGTGAGTTCCCTTTTTTTCTCATTTAATTTCATAATCATTTTCTAACATTCCTTTATATTGAATGATTAAGACAAGGATTCACCGGGATACAAGCTGAAATCTTGGTCAAGAAATATTGCTCACATCAATGCATAGCACGTAACGGTGGGGTAATTGATGTGTAAACTTCCAATTTCTATTCATTTGATTGTGTTCTTGTTTTCATGTTGTCCATCTATTGTTCAACTCTATATACATGCAAAGAACAATAGATTTCACGTTGTTATGCACCTCCCAAGTAGCAATGAGAGGTGCTTATGAGGGCAAAGAACTTAATTATCTACTTAAGTCGTAGCTGAGTTGTTAAGGACATGAGCCAAGTACTTAAGTACTCAAGTTAAGTACTTAAGTACTTAATATTAGGTACCTTAGGTACCTAGACCCAAATATCGAGGGTTCAATTTTTTTTTTTGGCTGACCAAAAAGACTTCTCAGGGTCATTTTTCACACTAACCACACTTAATAAGCCCAAAAATGACTTATTACATGACGTTGATCAGTAGGTCTCATGTGTATAATTTTCTGTAACCAAATTTTGATTTTGCGGAGCGGTTGTGGTTGAGACTGGACTGGATCAACTGTAGTTCATTACAAAACCATACCACTGTGGATCAGGTTGGTTCAGAGTGATTTATTGTTGGTAAATCGTATGTTACATCATCCCATAGTGGATTTCATGCGTTTACCAACTTTGGTAAAACACACATGATTAGTTTTTGCACTCAGGAATGCAAAATCTATGATAAATCACCCTCATGATAGTGGGTGCTCTAATGGAAACAGTCGCAATATTGGGAAGGGTAAAAGAAAAAGTACTACTTCTTGTAAATGTTTGAATTTGTCAAATGTCTCTCAAACTTGTTTGGCTCTTGTAAAGAAGACAAAGAGATTGGCAGTTCAAGAAGTATGTTTCATTGTTCTCACTTTTTGTTTATGTTTTTTCACCCAATTCTTTATCTTATCATTGATCTCACTTTTCCTATTTTCCTTCTCTTTCCAAGGAATACAAGATACCCGCAGGTGACAATGTCAATCAAGACTTAGATATTGAGGTTGTCAAGACACCAGGTGTCAGCCATATATAACCATCACCTAGAAATATAATTACATGTACATACAGCCTATAATATATATGTAACATTTAAGAAAAACATATATGACCTCTAGTTACATATGCATATACCAAAGAAATAACATGTAACATTTAAGAAAAACATATATGACCTCTAGTTACATATGCATATACCAAAGAAATAACATGTAACATATAAAATTACATACAAAAACACTAGTAACATCTCATAACTCAGTATCAAGAGTTAAAACAGGTTTATCTTATATGAAACACTTAATGAGTACATAACATAACATTTAGTGCACGTAATCATAAAAACATTAAAATATTAAATACAAACCTAATATTGTCAACATTGTGTATATCACAATACTAGGTTTAAAAGCTAGAATATATAAACCAGAACCTGCTTCATCCCCAAAGGAAAAACCAAGTTTATACATACCACTTTCTAAAGAACCATCAAGAGTGCAATTAGAATAAAAATCAAGAGTATTACAAATAGTAATACTAGTGATGCATTCTATCTACCTTGATATTTCCTGACTAGATCCTAGTAAGTTATAACACTTCACTTCTGGATCCTCTACTTCCCCTAAGGAGTTTATATACTAGGTTGGTGACCTCCAAGTTAATAACCAATAGGTTGGTGACCTCTAAGAGATAACCAAGATAGTGATCTTCATAATCACCCTTTGTCCTGTTACGGAAAGGATACTGGAGAACCTTGGGATCCAGTTCTCATTGTTATATTAAATTATAAATTGAAACCTCTTCTTTAAGAGTCAAATAACTGTAGTCTGTCAGGATTTGTCCCAGCAGACTCTAGGTTGTTAACCTTCCACCCTATCTTCCCCTTTCTCATTATCCTCTTCTCCCTAGGCCCTCACCCCAATTGTTCCCTGGTGTAGGGGATGGGGACGGGGATCATTCCCCGATTATAGGGGCGGGGATCATTCCCCTACCCCTAATTGTCTTCGGGGAACAATCCCCCTACCCCTAATCGTTTTCGGGGAACAGCACAAAACGAAAGAAAACAAACAAGGCAACAAAGGACCTTCACCGATTGATACATTACCTCAAACCCTCAAGTTCATTCCAATGAAAATGAAGTCAAAGGGATCATCAAACTTACAAATCCTTCAAAATCTGTTTCTTCAACATGGGAGTGAATCAAGATTAGTTGTAACTTTTTGACCTTTCAAGAAATATCTGAAAAACTTGACTAATCCATTCATAGTCAGTTCCCTTTCAGATTCCTTTTAGGTCACGACTCATGAATTCAATTCTAATTTCTCACAAACATTCAACATTGAGTCAGAAGAAGTTCACTGTTCTACTGCAATCATGTTGTTCATCATTTTGTTTAATTTGTTTACTTTTTGTTTTTCAACTGTGATGAAATCATACTACATAAAGGAGTCTAATACAATATTTCTTTCTAAACAATGATCAACTTGTAAGTTGTCACCAGTCAAATTTCAATCTATTTAATATATTACATAAAAAGACAGAATAAAGACAAAGATGGAAAAAGAATCAATCAAAGCCTAATCAAGACTTGAAAGTCAAGAGGTTATTTGAGAACTTTTATATGTATCATGTTACTCTCATCTTAGGATCGTAGAACTATCTGCCCATTTTATCGTCAGTCTTATCTCTTCTTGATATCACCAGTATTTCCGAGATGTAATTAGATCTTAGTACAGATTCCCCGTCAGTCTCAAACTCTCAAGTACCCAATCCAGCTGCT